ATCAGTTTCGTATCAGTTTGGCGGGGATCCCAAATTCAGACAAAGCGGCGTATAGGCAACACCTTTTAGTGCTGTCGAAAGCACCTTTAAAGTCGACAAATAGGTGGTAAGCGTCGATCCTTTTCTCGCGGAAGACCTATGCTTAGAAGGCTGATTCCACGGTAGTTGGCACGCATGGCGGGGTCGCCTTTCTTGTGGATTGGGCAGAGCGCACTTGAATTTTAGATGTATTTAATCGAGATATATACTTATCGGATCCTAAAATATCACTGTTATACCTAGAAAATCATTTGAAATTCCGTAAAGAAACTATAAATGTTCCAGAAGAAGTTCAAGGAATTTTCATGAGGTAATATATTTAAATCTTATGAAATTCACGCAGAATTCATGTTATTATAGTTTATGAATTGATTTATGTTTTACAGAGCTACTACAAACCATGATGCTGATGGTGTTGAAAACGGAAGCATAGAAATATATTGTTGATTAAGATAATCCCCTATATTAACGTTTTGTATGTAGATAGTCACTAAATTACTACACACACACACTTACACACAAACATCCACACGCACACACAAATGTGGACAAGGACGAATTTTCACTATATATACATGTGATATTGTGTATCTAAAAATATCCCTGCGGTGAAACCCCAAACCAGCTAGAAAAAGTACTATTTCATAAACTAGTATGTGCCTACCAGTTCGACATTTACGAAGAACTTAAGCGTTCAGCGACATCTGCCTTGAATTGCCAAAGCCTAAAATAAAACGTAATTAATTGCTTTTCTTACAAATGTCGGCTGTGGTGTCACGTGAAGACTACTGGTTCTGGTTCTGGGATCGCAGGTTCGAGGCCGCTTGGAGGTGGTTAAGATTTTTAAATTCAGATCAATGTAAGTAGGAATAATTATTTCAATTTAAATATAAATAACAAACTTAAAAATCTAGTTGCATTACAAAAACAAAGAAACAAATTTATGGGAAGAAATACTTGTGCCATAAAAAAATAGATTAAAAAAAATATTTTTTTAAATTAAATTTAAATTTTTAAAAAATATAAATAAAAAAATATTATAAAAAATAAAATAAAAAAAATTTCCCTGCGCCCAGGCTTGAACCTGGTACCTCAGGCATACCACGCGAGTGCTTTGCTCTGTCGGCTATTGCGTCTGTTGGAGCGCCGCGAGCAGAAAGGCATACTAATGCTTTTCATAGGGGATGAATTGGCAGACTATCTCATCAACTTGTATGATGCTACTAGTATTTCTACTAGTAGATGCTGATGCATAGCCTGACAATTGACATCTCGTAGGACATTGCAATGTTAAAAATACCAGTCGCTAACATTGAAAAAGGATAGAACGTGAACTAGTTGGGCTGAAACGTAAACTGGTAGAATTCTAGTTCACAACTAGTAGCTTTCCCTGCGGGGATATAGATATGACCCACCACACATACATATTTGCATTTATATGTATGTATATCGCATAAAACGATTTAAAAAACATTTAGGTATGTTTAAATCAGAAAAAACTTTTTTTTTGGTTGACCACTGACCTCGGAATTCACGATAGGGAATTTGTTTTTGACGAATCGAAAAAGTTTGGCTCTTTTCAGCAATAATTGGAGTTTAAAATACTATTTCATTTAGGTCTCTATTAATTTTCGATCGCTAGATATTTGCTTTTATATATACATTTTTTTTAGTCGAACTTTGACCTTGAAATTCAAGGTCGAGAAACTGTTTTTGAAAAATCTGAATAACTTTCCCGTATTCGCCAGTATTTCTATAATGCCGTTTAGTTTGTGTCTCTATCTGGTTTGGATCGGGAGATATTTGATTTTGTCCATTTTTTCCCAAAACAGAACACAGTGCAGCGTACGCCAGAAATGTCAAGCTCTCGTAAAAAAGGGAGTCGCCCTGTCTGAAACCCCGTTTGGTAGCAAACGGCGCAGAGAGGTCTTTCCCAATTATGACGGGGCCGGTGGTATTGCTCAACGTCATTTTACACTGCCGTATCAGTTTCGAGGGGATGCCAAATTCAGACATCGCGGCGTATAGGCAACTCCTTTTAGTGCTATCGAAAGCGGCTCTCAAGTCGATCCTTTTTTCGCGAGTATTTTCCAAGATTTAGCGCATTGTGAATACCTAGTCTATGGTGGAATTGCCAGGTCTACAGCCACGCTGATAAGGCCTCATATTTAGTTGACGATGGGTTTCAGTCTTTCACACAATACGATCGATAAGGCCTTGTGACCTATGGTTGGAAGGCTGATCTCACGGTAGTTGGCCCGAATGGCGGGGTCGTCTTTCTTGTGGATTGGAGCGGTAGTAGATGTTTGTATAACAGTCGTTGAGATAGCGCACTATAAATCAATTTACTTCGTTGAATGGCTTAAAAAGCCATCTCCGCGGGATCGCTCCCGCATTTCATCAGAAGGTGACATGGCATAGAGAATTCCTCACGCTTTAACGCCATTTCCATAATCGCCCATCCATTAAAGTGGTTAAGGGTTCACGAGCGTTTTGGTGGAAATGCCCTTAAGATTTTACTGTGGAGAAATACATGTCAAGTGCGCATAGATAAGATGATTTTAGGAAACAAAGTCTATGCATGGTAAGAGCTTCATAGTGGCTCATTTTGTGCTCTACTCTTTATCGCCGGTAAGAAAGCCGGACTGCGAGCTGCAGACTGGTAAAACGGAACTCGTTTTATCCATTATTAGGTATAAGGTGCACCACACCCCCGCTCAACTATAAAACACGAGTCGCCATTGGGTATCTCTGATTATAAAACTATCTAATAAGTGAACTGAAAATCTTCGTGGAGTAGGCACCCTAAAGCCTGCATATCTTCGCTACCATGTCAAAGTATCGAATGTGAAAATCGGTACTTTAATTAGAGAAAAGTAACTATTGTAAGAAATGTTGTTATTGCTAAAAAGTGTGGGATTCGACACTTTGTAAAAGCCAGTATCCTCTGCTTCTAAGAAGACTAGAAATTCGACGATTTTCCAACTTACGTATGTCGGGATGGCCGTTTTATGAGACAAGCAAAACACATGTACTCACAACACTGAAGTTGTACTCAGTAAAATTAGGTTTATTTAAGTAATTTAGTTTTAGAAAATAGAAAAATTAATTAAATTGATTGATAAGCAAATATTCGTAGTGGCTTCCGCACACGACCAGTCTCTCTCGCTGACGTTTACCGACTTCCTACTGCTGCCACTCTCTTGCAGACATGCCTCGTCGTCAAGGGTTGCCAGATAACTTTACACGTATCATTCTAAACACAAGCGCAAGGTATCGTATATAAAAAAGCATTTTGGCACACTCGATAGTTTGACATGGTAGCGACGATATATTCGCAAACACTACATTGATATACTGTGCGACACTCCAAATTAACTGGGAAGTAGTGTTTTTCTTGTAAGTCTTGTCCAGTAAAACAAGAATCGAATAATGAAAGTACCATAATCTTGACGGTTAAAAAAAAAGGTTTTCCGTAGCTTTGCGTAATAAAGAGTCTATAGCTAAGTAAGTTGTTCAGTTCTAAAAAGAGGAAACTTGAATGGTGTTAATGTCAATTTATGAAACTTAGGTGATGTGTGTGAATTCACCAAGCAAACACCATGTGTGTTCACATTTTTCGCCTTTTTACAACATTGGCGAAACTTTTACGTACCATTTTAAAAAGCAACCATACTTACCCTGAAATGAATTAACGAATACGTATAATAATGCAAGGTGCAATGCGGTATAGTCATTTTTCTGGGTATGCAGTTACAGTTGTGAGGCTATTTTGAATTCCGTTCGCGCACTCTGGGCAACATGAGAAATCCTTGTGCGAAATGCGGTCATCAATTCGAGTGCAGCCTTGGGGCACGGCAGAAATTGAGGGAGCTTCGGTGGGGCCACTCCGACTTATTTGGTTAAAAGACCCACAGAAGTCTGCAGCGTCTGTTCACCAGTAGGTGCGGCTGCAAGTGGGTTGTGAGCTGGGTTTGGAACCCGCCACATGAAAACCACTTCAAATGAAAAATAACAATAAAGACGGGACCCTGTATGGGAAAGGTTCCTCCGCCTGCATGGTTGATGTTCCCGTGAATACAAAAGCTGACATTTTCGTCATCCAAGGAATGTGATAGTCGGGAGAAGGCAATAAACATGTGGAACCTTGTGACGTTTACTACAGCTGCCATGTAAAGGAGCGAAATTCGGTGTTGCAACGAAAAGCGCTATAAGAAGATATCCTTGAGCTGCCCCGTCACTATATTTAAATCTTTCTTGGCAAATTAAATGCCGAGGTGGAAAAGGGAGTGATATTTAACGCCACTGTCGGAAAACTCAGCCTCCACAGCGAAACGTCCGATAACGGCGTGAGGCTGATTGACTTCGCCGGGGCCCGAAAATGGTAGCATGCAATACTATTTTACAGCATAAAAATATCCATTAAGCTAT